TATTCATTCATTCAAATGCATGCCCAAGTTATTATGCTTTTTTTTCAATACTGCGGGGTGTTTGGTACCTCGGGAGGAGTGGAAAGTGATCCATCATCATTGGAGGTAGAGAAGGTAACAAACACAGGATCCAGATGTTTCTAAAAGTATCAGCAGTGAGATGGTTAGCACCACTGTCATCCTTAGGTTTCAGATTTAACAACCCATTTGGATGAATGGGCAGCAGACTCTGGTCATTACAAGCAAATAAGGCTAAGCCCTACTAATAGTACCACAACTGCTAACTGCCTAGGAGATGCAGCGTAGAACAGCTGATGTACTGCAAGATGCAATGCCACCTGTTTTCATTGTTGGACCCTAGTGGGGATGGCCAGAGCCGCTCCAGCCTCTGAAGACTGCAGTAAACCTGCTGCCATTGGGGCCTCCCAGTCCTAAAGCACATAGACTTCAATAGAGCAGACGGAGGAGGCAAAGCTCAAGGAACACAGGCTTCTGTGGAGTTGTTCTCATTACAGCACAGTAGGAAATACAGCAGCCCAGAGAGGGCACCTCTTTCTTCTCACATCCCTGTCTCCCACTAAAATGTTTCCTTGTGACATCCCTCACTGCACATCTCAGAATTGTGGTTCCGAGCTCTCTGTAGACTCAGGAAGATGGAACTGCACTGATCTGCAGTCAGCTCATGGGATCTTTAAGTTGTCTTCAAACCCATAAGGAGCGGGAACTTCGTTTAATTAAAGGGAAATCTTAGATTCAAGAGAACTTTTCCTCAGTAAGGCACCACTTCATTGTTCTCCAAATCACTGAATACATGATGCCCAGATCATTTCTTGTACCTGGGATACACAAGCCCTTGCTAGCCACAAAAAGGCCTCATAAAGAGGTGCACTAGGCAGTATTTTATAGTTATTTAAATTGTTTCGGAAAACTGCAATATTCTTGTTATTTCATTGCAGAGAAATGGAGAAGAGACTTCATTGAAGGGGAAGACAACTAGCACCAGCCACTCTTCTGGAAATACAACTCGGCTACATCTAGACTGGCAAGATTTTCCACAAATGCTTTTAACAGAAAAGTTTTCCGTTAAAAGCATTTGCGGAAAAGAACATCTAGATTGGCACGGACGCTTTTCCGCAAAAGCACTTTTTGCAGAAAAGCATCCGTGCCAATCTAGACGCGCTTTTCCGCAAAAAAGCCCCAATTGCCATTTTTGCGATCAGGGCTTTTTTGCGGAAAACAAATCTGAGCTGTCTACACTGGCCCTTTTGTGCAAAAGCTTTGCGCAAAAGGGGCTTTTGCCTGAACGGGAGCAGAATAGTATTTCTGCAAGAAGCACTGATTTCTTACAATAGAAAGTCAGTGCTTTTGTGGAAATTCAAGTGGCCACTGTAGACAGCTGGCCAGTTTTTCCGGAAAAGCGGCTGATTTTCCGGAAAAACTGGCCAGGCTGTCTACACTGGCCCTTTTGTGCAAAAGCTTTGCGCAAAAGGGGCTTTTGCCTGAACGGGAGCAGAATAGTATTTCTGCAAGAAGCACTGATTTCTTACAATAGAAAGTCAGTGCTTTTGTGGAAATTCAAGTGGCCACTGTAGACAGCTGGCCAGTTTTTCCGGAAAAGCGGCTGATTTTCCGGAAAAACTGGCCAGTCTAGACACAGCCCTCTAGATTTTGAAAACTATTGCCACCTAAAGAGTTGCTTTTTCCATGAGAACGAATTTTCTTCGTAGCAAAGGTGCTTGGAACCCTGGCACTCTAAACATGCAAATCACTCATAGAAAAACACTAATCCATCTTGGCACTCAATTTGATTCAGCAAGTGCTGGAGCAGCACTGATGTTTTCAGCTGTCATGGGTGTTTTCTGGGCTTGCAAGTCTCTAATCCAGGAGTTTCCTGTGGCATTAGAGAGAAAAATGTTTTCAATGTGAGTAATGACCATTTACAGCACCCGTGGCCTAAAGAGGATGAACAAAACAAAAAAAATCTATTCTTCACAGCTTCCACCTATTGCTTCAAGTAAAAGGTGAAACAAGCATATTTCTTGGCAACACTTTGACAGAAGAAAATTGCCCTTCCTTGGCCTCTAATAAAGTCCACCCACTCCCTCGCCATCATTATTTCAGTTGTTTGGTAGTACAAATGTTTTTGTACCATATAAATAGCTTAAGGTTTTTTGCACTATGATTTGCAATCTTTAAGAGGAAAAACTGAGCACATTTAGTCTCTAAAATAGAAAACTGAAGGGAAGACCTGATAATCTTCAAAATACATTAAGAGCTGTGCCACGGGGCGAGCACTCAACCGCACACACCTCCAGCTTGTCACTCAAGGAATCAGCTCTTCTGCCTCAGAGTGCCCTCTACTGATCAGTGTCTCAGCCTCGGGTGCAGGTCTTCTGCTGGTTCAGCTCCATGTCCCTTCCTGGCCATGGTGCCCTTTCCTCCTCACACTGTCCTGGGTCAGTGCCCTTGCACTCTGGGGGGCTCTGTCTTGGGACTCCTCTAGCTTCCCTATCAGACAGGTCCCTCCTGCTCCCCAGCTAGAGCAAGAGTGTTTGTCTCCTCCAGAAGCCTTTATTTATACAGCCTCAGCTGTGCCCTAATTGGCTGTATCTACCTCAGCTCCAGGCTTCACTTTCTCAGCCTTCTCCCAGGATGTAGAATAGTGATAGAAATGTAGCCGTGTTACTGGAACAGGATACTAAACTCCAAGAAACTAAAGATACTAAACTCCCAGGAGCTGCAGCCTGGGAGCAAGGTCAGACCTCAGCTCTCCAGCATTGCTCTGTCTTGGGACTCCTCTAGCTTCCCTATCAGACAGGTCCCTCCTGCTCCCCAGCTAGAGCAAGAGTGTTTGTCTCCTCCAGAAGCCTTTATTTATACAGCCTCAGCTGTGCCCTAATTGGCTGTATCTACCTCAGCTCCAGGCTTCACTTTCTCAGCCTTCTCCCAGGATGTAGAATAGTGATAGAAATGTAGCCGTGTTACTGGAACAGGATACTAAACTCCAAGAAACTAAAGATACTAAACTCGTGGGCATGCATCTGACGAAGTGGGTCTTTGCCCATGAAAGCTTATGCTCCTACACTTCAGTTAGTCTATAAGGTGCCACAGGACTCCTCGTCGCTTTTGCAGATTCAGACTAACACGGCTACCCCTCTGATACTAAACTCCAAGAGGCTCTGGGAGACAGACCCATAGTCTCCTAGGGTACGTCTACACTACAACGTTAATTCGAACTAACTTAGTTCGAATTAGTTAATTCGAACTAAGCTAATTCGAACTAACGCATCTAGAACTAAAAACTAGTTCGAATTAGCGTTTTGCTAATTCGAACTAGCATGTCCACATTAAGTGGACCCTGAACCAGGCTTAAGGATGGCCGGAAGCAGTGCCGGCAGGGCATCAGAGGAGGACTTAGAGCGTGGAGATGCTGTCTCGGGCTAGTCGAGGGCTGTGCTTAAAGGGTCCCGACCCCCACCCCGGACAGACAGTTCTCAGGGGTGCCCCGCTTGCAAAGCAGTCCTGGCTTGGAGTGCCCTGAGTGCCCACACTGGGCACATCACAGCACT